GTAAATGTGTATCTAAATATTAGTGTTTCTTTGAGCCTCTGTAACTCATCATGCAACAACCCAAACGAGCAGCATCGTTATTTCCAGAGAACTAATGCACCATCGCTTAATGACAACCTTCCGGGAGCACAGGCGCAGTGAGTGAGTAATTCGGTATCCTCCAGCCTTGGAGGCTTTCTCGACAGGGAGCCGTTGGGATCCGTTGAGTTACTTTAAAATCTGTATTTTAGATAAATTATTGTGCATGTGTGCAGGCTGGAAAAGGGGAATGGTTTGATTTGGAGGGTGGTTGTCTTTCAATGTCTGCAAGAGCAGAGCTCGTGGAACAGTGTGGGATTAAAACGGAGTTTTGCTGTCCTCTGCTCTCCAGATATTAATTGGTGTTGGATCAAACCATGGATGTTAGGAACAGGAGGAGCGATGAGCCATTATACTCCTTTTAAGCCTCAAGTCTACTTTGTTTAAAGAGTTGTGATGCAGAAAAGCGGGGTGAGTGTATAGGTGACAACGAGCCTGCAGAGATGTTATGTGCTCCCTACAGCCGTGTCTTGGATAGAAATGGGGGTGAGCCCTGGGACTGGGGGGACTCAGGATATTTGGGTGGCGGAGGGTCTGCTGTGCAGGGGACAGCAGGTTCATAAGGTGCCCGTGTCGCGGTTTGCTTTGACGTGTGGTGTTCAGAGATGCCGATACCTTTTAAGAAGAGGTGTGCGGGGCTCCCTCTTCATCATCGAAGCACTGGTGTTCCCGGTAGTGCTGTGAGACACCGGGAGGTCCAGGTCCTCTTCTGGGGGCTGGTCTGGCGCAGGTGAGGGGGGATGCTGGCAGTGGGGAGGTCGGCCTGCGGTGCGGGTCTCCTATCTGTCTTCTCCCCTCAGGCTGCTCTGGGGATCTTTAATTACCTTTTCTTCAGATTGCTTCCTGTTGCTAAAGTCTTGTCTGGAGTAGGATGTTCTTAAACTTAAAAATGCTCAAATATAAATACATACTTGAACTCTTTTCTGATGAGATTTTCACTCTGAAATCTCTATGCGGGATCATATCTAAGTTTTGCTGTGATTTGCTTATTTCCGTAGCTTTAAACGCCTTCTCCACACTAGACTTGTGAAGAGCTTGCCTTTTACAGGCTGTCTGGCACCAAACCCTCATCCTCTACCAAAAAAATCCCCACATCCAGCATTTACAAGTGCAGCAGCTCAGAGCAGGAGGTGAGCAGCACTGCTTGGGTGCTCCTGAAAGAGCAGAGCATCCTCCTCCAGCGTCCAGCGAGCTCCCAAGGCACCTGCAGGCTCTGCAGAATTGCTTTGTGGAATAAGAGAAAATTGAGAAAATGTAATTTTAAAAAACCCAAACAAACCTGCTTGTGGTTTGGCTGTGGGCAGCACCTTCTCCAAACAACGGATTGAAGAGCAGCGGAGTGGGAACCTTGCTCTTCATGTCAGCTCTGCTGCAGGCCGGGTTGGAAACAAAATGCTACTTAGCAAACATCTCTGTGCAGCAAAGGTGCTTTTTTTTTTTAAAAATAATACAACCTCTCAGTTACGTTGCTTGCTTACAAATCTGTTTGCTTTCGGTCAAGAGCTTAGGGGAAACCATTTCTGAACGTAAAACTTCCAACGGAAGGGAACCAGCTGTGAGCCCATGCAGCGGCCGAGCGTGCTTGGGTCTTGCAATGAGATGTTGGCCCGCACCCAGTGAGTTACTGGTGCTGGCTGCCACTATGAAATGTTTATTGGGAAGGGCCGGGAAGGGAAGGGCTCGTACGTGCCCATCTCCGCATCCCCAGCCCTGCCGAGGGTCTGGCCGAGCTGCGAGGTGGTCACCGGGGAATGGAGGAAAGACGCGGAGACGTTTGCTCATCGCCAGCGAGACCCACCTTCCCGCGCCAGGAAAGGTCCACGACTGTGGCTTTGAAATCCAAACAAGTAAACATTTCTTCTTCCAGAAATGTCGGTATTTAAAGAGAGAAAACTACTTCCAGAGGAAATGTTTGTTTGTGGACTGTCCCTCTTGTTTACCACGGCTGATAAGAGCTGCTCTTCAGCTGTGCCCTCCCTGCAGTCGTCATTTCAAGAGCCTCAATTCTTTTCATTTTTAAGAGCAACGCGCTTCCAATGTGTGTTTAGATAATGGTTCTTACAAACGTATTTATTCAAAACAAACACAGTAGGAAGCAACTACAAAGCAGACTGCTTTGGCAGCTGGTGCAAAAGGGAGCTTGCTGGTTTTGTGTGTTCGTGGTGGGACAGTCTTGCAACACGTCCATCCCGCTCTGTGCGTGCTGGGCATCAGGAGCTTTGCCCTGGGAGCTGGCCACGGCGAGTCTGTCCTGCATCGTGGGCTTGGGGTGCTGTGGATTTGGCTGAATGTAGCTTGCTGCCCCCTGCCCCACCTTGTAGCATCTCTAGGAGTTTTTGGAGAGCTGTTGATAGCGTGAATCGGCTGCGTGGTGGCTGGGGTGACTCTGCAGACGGAGCCGTGTGTTGCGAATGGGGCCAGCAGCATCCGCGCACGCTAGCAAGGGATCACGGGAGGAACAGAAACACCAGCAAGAGCTGCAGGAGCAAGTCACCGGGTGCTGCATCTGCAAACTGATCGCAGCCCTGTGCCTCCACCATGAGCGCGCAGCTCCTTCAAAACCTCTCCTGAACCAAACTGCAGATGTTTTTAGTTTAGGGGAGAAGGAAATTCAGTGTTGCAGATTTTTTTTGCTTTCCCCCCGAAGCGAGTGGCAGGCACAAAGCTGCCCCCTCCTCGAGGGTGGTGGTGGGAGCCAGCGGGATGCTGTGTGAATCTGCCGTCGCCTTTCATTTAACTTGGATTTTACAGCTTTCTCGCAGAGCCTGTTCTGTGATAATCTTGCAAAAACAAACTCCTGCAGACTTCTGGGGAAACAAGGTGACGTAATGCCCAATTCAGCAGCGTTTTGGAGAATTACCCTTGCGTGCTCCCGCTGCCTTGGCTGGGCTATGCCAAGCTGTCCTGTCTTCTCCTGTGCAAAGCACCGGAGGAGGAGAACCAATGCAGTGTTGTTTTTGGCACATCTGCATCTCCGTCTAGGTCGGAGCCTTGACACATCTGAGTTTTGGCACCATCTTAGCCTTGTGATGTCCCTGGTGCATCAGGTGTCCGTGGATGCCCGTGCAGGCTGTCTGCTCGGATGCCTGTTTTCTCAGTGCAGGTAGAAAGCTGCTGTTTCAGTGGCCTCCACCTCTCAGTTGGGTTTGGAGAAACCCAGAGCAGCTCACCGAGGGGAGATGGTGTGTAGGGCATGGGGCTTTAAACCCGGCCTCTGCAGGAGACCAGGCTAAAGTGGGCTCTGCAGCTCATCCCCAAAGCTGGCTGGTGGGGCTAAGTCCAAGTGAAGAGGTTTCAAAGAGTTCAGAGAGCCTGTCTCAAATCTGACGCAGCTCCGAATCACTCCGATGGGAGCAGAGACCCTGTGGGTCACCATCCCTGCTTTTACAAAAGACCTCCCTTGGAAAAAAAACCCAAAAACTAAAATTGAAAAGAAAACAAACCTTGTAAACCCAGGAGATTTGCATTGCTGGGGAAACAAATTCAGTGAAGGTCTCTAATGCTGCTTTGTTTTAACTACAGCTTTAAGAATAATATTAAGCTTTTGCATTAAATGTAGGGGAAGAGTACTTTGGAAAGCTAGGAGGGCTTTTCTCTTTCAAGCACTCTGGTTATTGTGGCAATCAGAATGAGTTATATTAAAATTGTTGAATGCAGTAATATGTAGGAGGGTGACATCTTGAAATGTTTCTTAATTTTAAGTATGTATTTTGAACAAATGTTTGTATGCCGAGGCTTGGGCTGGTGGGATTGCGAGGCATATTGGATTATATGCTATTTGCTCTGTGTAAGCAGTGGCAATTTATTGCTGCAGATGCATGTGATGCAACGCGCAAAGATTAGTTCTATCCTCTCTAAAGCATGATTATTTTAGGTCCTCTTTATACCTTAAATAGATATTCTTCTCATGTGATTTCCATCTTTTTGTGTCAACAGCCCAGGCTAAAGTTGAAATAAACATTGCATCAGCTTAAAGCACAGGCTCTGAAGAAATCTTTTCTCTGTTATGGGGATTGTTTGGAAGCCTTTTCATTTTATATTTTTCCAACATGCAATGCAAAGATCTCGTGAATCCTGAAGCCTGCTCTGTTTCACTGGACCTTTCTTGTGCAGATCAACATGGTTGATCAACACTGATGAGTCCCATCTGGAGCAGAACATCATTGTGGTTCATCATGTTTAAATATCCCCCTTTTTAGTTCATGGTGAGGATCTGTGGCCTCTTTCAGGGACATTTAGAAGTGAGCAGCTGTTAAAATTTGTTGTGGCCATGCGATTTTTGACTCTCAGGTAGCAGATTTCTCCTTCCAGTTGCAGTTGCGGAGAAGGATGCTGTAACACGGCAAGCCATCGCAGGCTGCCTGGGGTTTTGGCAAGGCGTGGTAGGAGGAGGGTTGCCTGGTCATGTTTGTGTTGTCAATTCTGTTGGACTCGATGATCTTAAAGGTCTTTTCCAACCTAAATGATTCTATGATTCTCAACTGCTCCACTCCCACAGCCAGTGCTGCCAGAGGGGAACAGGGACTTGGAGGAAGAGAGGACCTCAGGACAACCCTGTGGAGCAAGACCTCTTGCCATCTTCTCCCCTTTCCCTAATCTTGTTTCCATTTTTTTAATCATTTGCTCTTGTCAGGCTGGAGACCTGGTGCCAGGGCATTTAGCAGTTTGGAGTCAGTGTCATCCAAATGGTGGAAGATGCATGGTGAAATGTCAATAGAGATGTTTCTATCAAAGCAAACCTTAAAAAATGAATGATTTGTTTGCTTTTAATGACTTTGTAGGCTGGAGTTGGCCAGACAGGGTGATATGACTGGGGAACGTGGTGTGTCTGTGCTTGTGGCTTGGTTTGAATAGCTTGATACAGACGTAAATATTGGAAAGCTCTTGACTGAGACCTTTCGCACCTCTCTTACAGCGTCATCATGACAACAGAGAAGAGTCCAGCAGCGGACGCCGACAATTCGGAGCAGCAGCAAGCCAAGGAGGAGGAAGGAGCTGCTGAAACACAAAAGCAAGAGGCTTCCCTAGAAGAAGGGGCTCAGCAGACATCGGAGGGACAGCCTGCAGCGGGGCAGAAGCAGAAGGCCTCCAACGGCGATACGCCCACGCACGAGGAGCACAGCAAGAAGGAACGCCGCACCTCCGAGGGCCGGGGTCTCTCCCGCCTCTTCTCATCCTTTCTCAGGAGGCCCAAGTCTCAGGTGTCCGAAGAGGACAAAGACACTGATGCTCCTAAAGAGGCAGGAGGTGACCAGAAAGACGTGGGATTAGGAGCCAGCCCTGATGAAGACATCCTGGTGAAAGCCCCAATTGCAGCTCCTGAGCCTGAGCTCAAAACCGATCCATCACTAGATCTCCATTCCTTAAGCAGCGCGGAAACACAGGTAAAACACCCTGCTCCATGTGACATGCTCCCTTCTGTTCTTGAAAACATGTCTTTTCAGCCAAAACTATAAAAACTTCATATCCTAGGATGGTAAGCTTGATCAGAAAAGCTCATGAGATGCTGAAAAGGCTCTTGTAAGCTCCCTGTGTTGCATTGCTTACTTCCCACTCTTGCATTCCTATATCAGACTGTCCTGCAAGGTACCTGCTCCTGAAATTGCACTCACACTTCACAGCGTAAACTGAAATGCCCCGTGCTGATTCCTTACTCTGCTGAGGCACGGGAAGTCACATCAGAACTAGGGTTCAAATTCACAATTCACAATGGAGCAGTTGCTTGTCAGGATGTCCTTCGTGTGTGCAGAATAAAGGCAGGCCAGTGGCGTGAGGTGGGGATTGCAAGAGGACTTGGATTTGGGAAAGGGTTTCTTCAACTTCAAGGAGTGCAAGTGTGTGGCATTTCAGGGCTTGGTCATCTGTTCAGTCTGGGCTGGTGCTGAGCCTGCCAAATACAAATATTTTCTGCTTATGCATCATGCAGTCAGGGATTTCTGCACAGCACGTGGCCTGAGCCCAGCTTCTAGTAGCCGTCTGATGTCGACTCTTTACAGCCGGGGTCATTTTTCATGCAAAATTTAAAGTTTTTAAAGCATGGTAGAAACTGAGGCAGAGACACCCACAGGGAGACATTCACAGAGCTGCAGCTGGTTATTGATTCGGGGGTATTGGATGCCCTCTCTTACTCCTTGGGTAATTGCAGCTCTGCTGTTATTGGTGCGGCTGCCCGGAGTTAGAGAAAGGCGGGTGCCCCTTCTCCTGAGATGGGGATTTCTTATAACCCCACCAACCTGGGTGTATTGCTGGAGTCCTAGCACATTCGTGGTAAAGTCTGCATTACTTACCGCGCTGCTTTAAGTTTTGAATGGGCCCCAGAGAGGTGTTACATACCTGCAAACTCTGACTTTTGGAGCAATACTTTACAAGTTAGAGCATTGCCAACTGTAGCCAGTAATTGTAAATCCACCTCCTTAAAATTACAAAGCTGTAGAGAAGGTAGTAGGTAACACCTTCTTCTTTCTTTTCCCAAATTTCTGAGCCTGTGAAAACCATGGGATGATCTCTGCTCGTGTTTTGTACCTCTGAGGGTTGGGATTTGCAGAACGGGGAGTAGCTGGAAATTTTCATGCAATTTCAGCCCAGAAATTGCCTCTTCAATAGGAAATGCATGATTTCTTTCTCTGTTTAACTTCGATTTTCTGCTTCTGAGTGCATGCGAGTGTGCAGCCACAGCCTTCCTTCACCATGGGCTGTTCATTTCAGATGAAGCATTTGTGCCCTTTTTTTTTTTTTTTTTTTTTTTTTTTAGTTCTTATTTTAGATCAACGTCAGTGGCTTTTTGAACTGTGACACTCGGCAGATATTTCTGCTGTGAAAGCATTTGCGAGGTGCTGCCTCTTTGATAAATGCTGACCGACAGGCATTACGAGCTTTGACTGATTCCCTGCTCCCGATTGTCCCGGCCCTGCTGGAACAGAAGTCAGCAGCTTGTGGACATTATTTAGTTTTTAAATACCTCTGTGCAGTTGTGCCTGGGTGTGATTTCATGAGATGCGATGGGCTGAAAAGATGGGGTTTTGCTCTTCCTCTGCCGCAGCTGTGTGCTCCTGCTGCGTCGAGCCACTTCCAGCACTTGTCAGAGCCTGCCGTGAACTCGTTTAACCTGCTGAAATGGCAGTGGGGAGAAAAACCCCGCTTCCTTCCTCCTCCTGTCCCCAAACTGCTTCAGTAGGCAAAGGGAGAGCGGTATGAAGGCTGCCTTCCCTTTTTGGTGGCAGAGAGCTGCTCGGTCAGCTCAGACGGACGGGAAATCTCGGCACTCACCCCCCCTTTTAATGCCACCGCTGCCATACCGAGTGCTCCGGTGCACTGGAGCAAAGCCCATCGCCCAGGGCGGCGGTGAGAGCGTGGGCCATGTGCAGTGGGTGTCTTGCCTGGGAGGGGAAAAACTCGCTAGTCCAAAAGGTGCTGTCGTTAAGACCATGAACGTTTGCGTGCTGTAATCTGCCCTGATTTCTCTAATCAACCCTTTTTTATTACATCCTTTATTAAATGAAGACTTGAGAATGACTTGAAGGGCTTTAAAAATTGGTATCAATACCTTGCTCATCCGAGCTGCTGCTCCAGGTCCCGGGTTACACATTTAAGTCAGATAACTCATTCTGGGGCGAGATCCCAGCCCTACAGTGCACCTGTGCAATGCTTGTTTCATGTGATGTTTTTTTTTGCTTGACGTGCCTAAATTGCAACTTGGGTGATGTGGGGGTTTCAGCCTGCACAGGAGGAGAGGAGGGACGACCAGGAGCCGGACAGCAGAGACCTCGGGGGCAAGGAAGGAGGGGAAGCGAAGGAAGAGTGTGCCAAGCCAGAGCCGAAACAAGAGACTCCGGAGACCAAAGCAGACAAGGATTTGAAAGCTGCTCAGAAAGCAGTAAAAAGACACAGAAACATGTACTGCAAAGTTGTCTTGTTGGATGACACCATTTTTGAGTGTGCCGTGGATGTAAGTACTTCTGGGGTTTGTTTGTGCTTCTCCTCTTTTCCCTCTCCCTTCTCCTCCCCTTGAAAAATCACCACAAACACTATTTAACAGGGGCCTAATTTGCTGTCAGTGACATACATGACTGCAGAACAATCTTAATAAAAGCTATAAAAACTTATTTAGTGTGTTGTAAAAATCTCTGGGTGCCTAGGAATCTTTTTTTTTTTTTTTAAATTGCTCTACAATTTCCAGGGTGCCTTGCTTTTTAAAGGGGGGGGAGGTTTTTTTTAAAAAAAAAAAGTTATCTTACTTGCTGTTCATCTTCTCTCTCATTTGTGTCCTAGACTAGAGTTTAGGTTTTTGTGTTAGGTTGGGATTGTCTAAATATTTTCTGCCCCTTTCCTTTGAATAAAATGGGTTGTCAAGTTGATTTCTGCTTTTCTGTTCACCCAAGGTACATTTGCCTATCAGGTTGCTGGCTAACATAACTCCTGGAGCTTGGATGTAAAGAAAAACATGCTGTGTTTAGCCTGCAGTTGAATATATTTGCAGTAAACAATTTAAAATTATTATGTTGACTTACAGCACTGCAAACCCCTTCATCTGAGAGCTTTTATTCTTCGTTATTTTGTGCGTTCTCTCACAGGGCCATCTTGCTGTCAGGGCAATAAAAAGCTTGCAGAAATCCCCATTTCAGTATTGAAGCACTTGTCCAGAATATTAATAATCCAGTACTTAGCATTCGAGCGTACTTCCATCGGCTTGTTTTTCCCCAGTCCCGCTGGCTAAATGGGCCAGGAGAGGGGATCTGGGCACAGGGCTCCTTGTGAAAGCAGTTACCTTGGGTGATCCTGGGCAAGTAGGTCAGCGCCGTTTGTGTAATGGCGTCGCTGCTGTTATTGCCTGGGATCAGCTCGGAGCATCACCGCCCCGATTGCCTTCCCCACCTGCAGACAGCCTTTGCCAGGGATTTTGTGTGCAGCCCCTGAAAAGAAACTGTTCCCCGAAATGTTGGTGGTAGCATCTCCGCCAGTGTCGGCTTGGTGTGGCTTTGGGCATGAGTTTGCCGCAGCCGTGCCTTGAAATGGCAGCAGGCTGCACCGACGCTGTTGGTGGGAGAGCTGGCGGGGGTGTGGGTGGTCCTGACTTGAGCAGGATGTTAGAGGTCTCTTTCTGTAGGTCCAGAGAGTGGTGGTGGGCACTGCGGAGAGGATTAGGAGGGGCTGCTTTTTTCGGTGAGACCCTCTTGACTTGATGAGTACCCTTGGCTTTAATGCCAATATGATCCTACTCTAGCATTTTGAGATTTTATTAAGACTTAATTGGGAAGGAATTGCAAAGGTGTAGGCAAAGACCAGCACAAATGGCTTTATCCAAGAAGAACGAGTGCTTTAAGGCATCCTTTCCAATTGACAGCTGTAGAAGGTTTTTAATTCCTCTGTGTCTTTAAGTGCCAATTCCTTGAGAAATATCCAGGCTAACACATGTGCTATGTTACCTATAGAGTCGCAACGTATGCACTAAGGACCTTAGGGCTGAAGGACTGAAATAAAACAAGGCTATGGTCTCGGATCAGTTGCCATGCAAATATGACTAAAAGGAGAGATGCGGGCACAAGCGGTGCATTCGTAAAGCTTATTGTGCATCACTGGAACTGCACTTCCTTCTTAGCAAAGCCTTCAATAGAATTAATTGCTTCTGGTTACCATAGTTTTGAGCCTCAGGGATGTTTTCCTTCATGCTTTTGGACTAGAAGGGTATCTGTTCCTCGGGCCAGTTCACTTCTGCAGGATTTGGAAAAAAAGGAGGAAGAGAGAGGAATGCTCACAGCGTGTTTCTGGAGGCAAGTTGTGTGCTAAGCAGCTTTCAGTGTGTAAGGCAAAGCTGGAGAAGCTGGGTTTCATCAGCAGATCGGGTTGATGAAAAGGCCACGGAAATGATGGTCTTTGGTTCTCAGAGGCTGTTTCTTTTGTGACCCTCCTGAGTCAGGTTGTCCCCAAAATGGGGGACTGTAGCAGTGGGTTGTAGCAGCAGTTTCGTACCCCATGTTGATCATCTTTTGATCAGTGCCTGATTGTCTGACAGCCTGGAGCTGGGAGATACCAGAGCAGCAGATGTACTTTAAGAGGAAAAATCCATACAAAATCCTCGGTGTTTACTGAGTTGTGTTGAGAAGCTCAGCTTTGGGGGGGCTTCAAGACACGGAGCTGGTGGTAGCAGAGACCCACTGCACTTCCCATTGCTTCTCTGGTTTGAATTGTATGCCTGATGCTCTTTCCTATAAGGGGTGCTTGCTGAGAAACAGCCAGGAGGTCTAATTTTGAGCTACTCGGGACTTTTTTCCCCTCTTGATAGTGTACAGTGTGGTTTGATTATGTTCCCTCTCCCCTGAAGGAGGGCAGGTAAAAACCAGCCCATCCTACAGAAGTTCTTTTGTCTATTTGCAGAAACATGCCAAGGGGCAGGATCTACTTAAAAAAGTCTGCGACCACCTCAATCTCCTGGAAGAAGACTACTTTGGTTTGGCCATATGGGACACACCGACCTCCAGGGTAAGCGGCTGCTGTTGCGTGGTGTTCTGCATCTTGGTGGGTTCAGCTCTTTCCAAGGATCATCTTCCCTGGGGAGGAGGTGGTGCATAAGCTCTTCTTAAAACTCCTTTTGGTGTCCTTCCCAAAAAAGGACTAAGAGGGTCATCACAGAGGCAGAAATTGTGAATAAATGACTAGAGGAGTGTGGATTTTAGTAAAAAAGCTATGTGAACTTGTATCTTCACCTGGAGAGAATTCATTATATTAGTTTACTACAAAATGATGCCATTAATTTGTAAAGCTATAGCTCAAGAAGTTAGGGGAAGGTAAGGCTTTTCTCACTGTGGAAAAGCGTCAGGCTTTTTTATTGTGATTTTAAGAATAGCTTAACTGCTCTTAGGCTATAGAAGATGAGCCTGGATGTTGACACATGGCAGGGGAACTTCACAGCCCTGGAGCCTGTGTTCTCCAAAGGCATATTTTGTAGGGTTTGGTGGGAGCCATCCAGAGTAGTTTCGAGCTGAGGCTTTGCCCTGCAAAAAGCCACACATGACTCTTCATACCAAAACTCTTACTCATATGGTTTGTTTGGTTAAACTCCAGCAGTGTCTTATCTCTTAAACCCTTGGTTACGCTTTAACTCAAGCAATTACTCAAGCTCTGTTTCATGAAAAATCAATGGCCCAGCTTTTATGTCCTTTAGACCAGTTATGTTGGTCCACATCTGACTATTCCCGTGCTACACCTACTGCAGTCCCTTAGGGGCCAGGTTACTATGGCTGACAGACGTTTGTCATTAAATACTTAATAATTGCAAGCGTGAATTTTTAATACACAGGCAAAGTAACGCCCTGTCACTATTTGAGGCAGGCAGAGCTCTGTCTTGGATTTGTTTTTCTGTCTCTGGTGTCTTGCTATTTTCTTGTATGCGAAATTTGCTTCCAGGTACATAGCCTGGATTTTTTTACTCTAGGAGTGTGTTGTGCTTGCAGAGGGAGGGATAGGTGTACTTTTAGATCCAATTAAGAGCAAAAAGAGTTTAGCTGGAGCAGCTCAACTTCTCACACTTGTGCTGTGGGTAGCTCGCTGCTGCATCTCCCAGACCCCCAGGGCTTGCTCTCCTCACGTCCAGGCGTGCCGGCATCGATTCTTCCTAAAGCAAAAGCGTGCACCTCCTTCCCCCCGAGCCGACAAGGGCGAAGGGGCTGTGCAGCTTTTTAACTGTAGGGACTGAAAACAGACAGTTTTGCAGATTTGTGTCCCAGAGCTGGGAGCTGAGGAAGGGAAAGCCGCTGTGCGTGAGTTCAGCTCCAGTGCAGAATAAGCTGCTCGGTGGAAGTCTGGTTTGCTCTGATGGGGGAAAACATCATTTTTGGGGTTTTTTGGGAATCTTTTTGGTTATGTTTCATTGAACTTTGAAATCTGAAGCTCCACCTCTCTCTTGCTGTAACTTCAAACAAGACCTGACACAGAGTTACTGATTCACAGGTAGAAATGATCTTAATAGAAAACCAACAGATGAGCTTCTGTTGCTTCCGCAGCTGTGTGGAGCAAGCGGAGATGCACGTGTGTATTCCTGGACAGGGAAGCGTCGTATGTGGGATTTTCCACCTTGGTATTTAGGGAATAAACGTTCCTGGGGACGGGCATTTTCCCACACAGCAATAGCAGAGGGTGACAGTGGGAACAGGAGATTGTGACAGTGGATAGAGCTGCTGGTCAGCACTGAAGGAGCTTGACGCTCACGCTGCTCTGAAAGGAAGGATTGTTTCCCACTGATTCATGACACAGTGTGGATAAAAGTGCCGTTAATTGCTATACCCTTCATTATCTGCTGGATCAGGCAGGGTGAGTGCTGGGGATGCGTGACTGCACCCCGGGCTTGGCTGCCCAAAACCCAGCCGTTACCACTGCAGTAACGAGCAGTCGTGGCACCAGCGTGGACATAGAGATGCTCTGCTTAAAACAGTGGCACTAAAAAGACAGCAAGTGGCATGTCTACCTTTCAAATGGATTTTTGTATCCCCAGTTTTATAGGTTAGAGGGGCAAGCATATAAAAAGATAAGATTAAATGTAAGTATCGCTGTCTCCCTGCCATGAAGTTACGTGTCCTTCTGGTCAAGACAGATTAGCTTGGGGGATTCAGTGAGTTAATTCCTTCACCTCAGGAGACCTGGACATCCAGATCCTGCTCAGGGCTTGTGAAAATGAAGAAGGTGGTTTAATGTAGCCTCTCCAGGAGGGCTGTTAGCACTGCACCGTCGCCTTGCGGGGCAGACCCTGACCTCTGCAAAGGGAAAGGCTCAGTCTTGACGTGCCGGGAGTTGCTCAGACCGTGCTGGCAAAAGCAGGAGTTGTTTTTTGAGGTTTATGTTGCACCACCATCCCACAAAACCCCAAATTATGGGGGGGGTGGGAAGGATATATTTCTAAATTTGTAGCTGAGATAATTATTAGAAACTTGAGTCATACTTAAAAGAGATGGAGTTTATGTCATGCTCCTGTAAAATATTCCAGCCTTCCCCAGCGATTGGATGTTTTCACTTGTAGTTCAGTGATGAGGTTGTTAAAAAACATAGCTAATAATAGAAAGTCTTGGCAATCTTTGTTCTGAATAGGGTAAGTATGGAGACAAAGTGCCTAAAATGAATGCAGACATCCTATTTGCCTATTTTTAAAGGCGCTGGAGAAAAAAAAATGGGTTGCACAATTGCCCCTCGTAGCTGGATGTGGCTGTGACCGTACCTGCTGTTATGTGCTTGCAGCCTTAATATGCTGCCTTTTTTTTTTATCTTTTCTTTCTGCTGTTCCTGGTGCCTCCCCTACGAGTACCTGGTAGGTGAAGGGTTGGAAATGCACCCACCCGAGACCACAGATTGGAGTAAAAGTTGTGAAAAATGCACTGTCTCTCCAGTTTCCATGGCTGCGTTCGTGTCAAATGTTGTCTTTTTGCCGTATTTTTAGCGAATTGCAGTTTTCTGTGGTGTCTCTGGAATGTCTGTTAAACTGTGAATGTTTTTATCCTCTTACAGACGTGGCTGGATCCTGCCAAAGAAATAAAAAGACAGGTTCACGGTAAGTAGATTGAATTTATCGTACGGGTGTGCGTGGTTTCTCCCCCCTTCCCTAAATACACGTGGCTTTGGCGGGTGATCTGGGGAGCCCAAGGATGGGTGAGAGCTCGAGTGAGGGTGTCTGGCAGGGATCAGCACAAGTTCCAGCAGCCTGTGCATCCTTTCTCTTCTTCTTAAGTACTTAGTAATGCTCTAGATTTAGGAAAAAATGTCATTTCCTTGGGAAAACATAACTTGGGGTGTGTTCACCCTGTGAAAACCCACACTATCCTTACTACCATGCAACGCTGAAATGGGAGATCTGCTCCCTGTAGGAGGATGGGAAAACAGATGTCAGTGGGAACCATTTAAATCTCAAAGGAGATCGGCAGAGCCTGAGCAAAACTGCATGATGTAGCAAGGTTTTTGAGGCTGTTTTGGGGTCCAGATAGGGGTACTGGAATGATAAATGGCTCAGTAAGTATCAGGGCACATGACAGATGCTCTCCAAAATAGTATTTTAAGGTCTGCTAGCAGTGAATTGGTTCAAGATGAGGGCAGTGTCAAATAAATTTGAGAGGCTTTTATTTTCTCTCAGGAGCAAGTCTGACTGCTTTGAAAGTAAAATAGCGTTTTACAAAAATAAAATACTGTTTTACGTATGCTTTTGGTGGGGGGTGCAGAACAAAGTGTGTCATTAAGTACAGATTAAGGGGGAAATGCTGCAGGGCTGTGGAGTAGGAACAGCTCCTGCTCTTATCAACTTCTCTTTGAATCGATAGCAGGATGTGTGTAAAGGGCATGAGCTGCTCCTGCCGTGCAGGTAAAATTCAGCTCGTAAGTGTAACGAGCAACCTGCTATGGAATCTCGTCCCCTGAGATGGATTAAATGGCAAATTATTTGAATTTACTTGAATACGTGTTGAATGTGTGTACACCAGTATATGTTGTTGTACATATATAGGGAGTCAGTCTCTACATCCTCCTTGCAATATGTAGGAGACCTCTGCTACTTAAAATGTCTTCTTGGAATAACTTGTTTTGAGCGGTGTGTAATGAAAACAACATGCCTTGTGTTTAATCCCAGTCATGGCGTTGCATAAGAAGTAAATCCATGAATGCTACGTCCCCCTTCTCCCTGTTTGAGATGGTGATAAATCTCTGAGCAAGGGAAGTGCAGGAGTGTCCTCTCTTTCTGAAATAAATATTATTTTGAGTTAGTGTTAAAGGGCACAGCAGGGGGGAGTTGTAACTATGAAAATGACTTTGAGTGCTTAATGAGTTTGTCAGGACTATTTTCTGCAGGTAAACATCATTATTTTCAAAAAAAAGAGAGAGTAACTCAGCTATGTCACCTAGACTGTCCATACCACATATAATGCCAGTTCTCAGTGTGATTATGTGGATTCTCACTGGAGTTAATGCCTGTAACGGTGCTGTACAAGGTTTGCAACAAGCTGTTTTAAAGCACTTAGGTCTGGACTTGTAAAGCTCTTCCCGTCTCGGTGCTTGCCGTTTCTTCCAGAGACTGATGCTCACATTGTGCTGAGTTTAAACTGTGATCTGACCACCCCACCACAGTGTATTGGGCTGCTGAGTGAATGAGCACATCTGTTCCTTACGAGAAGTTTGAAAATAAGGTCGAGTGACAAAGCAGTGCTAATTCATTAACTTATAGCACACGCCTGACCTCTCTTCATGAATCTTCTTGTTTTCAATCAGTGAAAAAATATGTAATTTAGCCTCTTAGCGATGAATTTAATTTTTTCCACAAGTTGTGGTTTATTCACGTGTATTTGCCTGCCCCTGCTTTGTTTTCTCCTGCTTGTATCTTAGCTCTTGTAAATGAAATTATATCTTATACCGTCTGCTAAGCAGCAGCTAGCTGTGCGAGCGAGCAGTATTAAAATAAGTATTATGATCTGCTGGCCGTATTTTGAAGATCAGCCTGGATATCCCCAGCTTTTTTGTAACAACTGACTATCGTGAAGCTGTTTTGGTGTGTTTATTTTTCTCAACCTCTTCTTCGTAATTGCAGGAGGCCCCTGGGATTTTACCTTCAATGTCAAGTTTTATCCACCGGATCCCGCGCAGCTGACAGAGGACATAACCAGGTGAATTACCTGGGAATCTTGCTACCAGCCAGGGAGCTCGCTCAGCAAAGCAGTGAATATTGAACAGACATTTTTGATATTCGGGTCTTATTCCATCCCTCAGCAAGGAGATCAGATGTCTTTCATGGTTTGGAGGGGTTTTTTGTTTGTTTTTAGTGGATGTGTGGGATTCTCCCTCCCTTCACCAAAGTCCACATGTGTAAAGCAGCGTCATTTATAATCCTGACACGTGTGCTTTTGTATAGAAAAGTACATTTTTATTTAAAAACAGGATTTTTCTGATCATAAGTGTTCTCTACTCTCTTTGCAGAGTAGTAAGTCCTCCATGCTTTTACTGTGGGAATATTACCCCGTAAGTGAAAATACAGGTAGAAATTAGAAACAAGCATCATGCTGCATTCATCAGTGGCATAAAAAAAGAGATTCTGTTTGATCCTCAAGTTTCATAAGTTTCTCTATGCTCTCTGTAAATAGTATTTTGCTTTTCCCCCCGCCCAGGTATTACTTGTGTCTTCAGCTTAGACAAGACATCATTACGGGGCGGCTGCCCTGTTCCTTTGCGACTTTGGCTCTGCTGGGTTCGTACACAGTCCAGTCCGAGTTGGGAGACTACGATCCCGATCTACACAGCCCGGATTATATCAGTGAATTTAAATTGGCCCCAAACCAGACAAAAGAGCTGGAAGAGAAGGTTATGGAGCTTCATAAAACATACAGGTAAGGTGCAGTGGCTGGAGCAGCCTGAAATAATGGAAATAATGGAGCTTTCTGGTATTTTCCCCACCTCTGTTGTATGCTTTTGGTTTCCTGCTGCACCAATTTTTATATTGGCAACAGAAGCTTTAACATTAAGGTGTGAATATTCAGCTACTAAGAAAATCAACTATTTAAAAAAGATCTAATATTTTGAAGTTATAACAAAATCTGTCTAGAAGCCGGAATTCTTTTTTCCTGTGTGAAGAAGAAACTATGTTTTTAGAAAGCAGATGCAAAATCTGGCAGTTGTTTATTAACCTGCTCTTTTTCAACAGTATAGCCATGAAAGCGGATTTTATTTCATGTGAAAATGCAATACAAAGTTTGTTTGCTTTAACCTTGCCCTTTGGTTTTTTGTTTTTTTTTTTTTTTTTTTTTTTTTTTTTTTTATATTTGCTTTGGGATTTTTGCAATTTTTGGGTTGCAATCTGGTTGGAGCAGATCCCGTCTCTTTGTGTGTACACCGTAGCTTACAGCGTGTTTGGGGTTTTCTGCTGCCGCGTTTAATGAGTAACACTTCATAACGTGGAAGTACTCTGGATAAAGCAGGAGGTGTAAACCTGCAGTTAGGCTGTCCTCCTCGTGTTTCCCAGCGCAGCCATGACCTGAGCAGATGTGTCTTGTTCAGGTAGGGTTGAAGGACTCCTGGGAGTCCCCCGGTACCAGATTAAAGAGTCACAGCAACCGAACCTCTTCCTCATCTTATTTTGAGCTTATTTTCATAGATGCTCTCGAGCGCTTGGATTGCAGAAGCTGTGCAGAGCTGTGTGCTCGCCAGCGCAGAGGGCTGGCGTGGAGAGCGGCCAGCCGGCAGCTTCTGCACCCTCCCGGCGATACATTTGGGTTTTAGGGGAAGAAAAAAAGCCCATAAACCCACTTGGTGATACCGAGGTCTTCAACCAGCAGCCCCTTGACCTGTGAAAAGCTGCTGGCCGATGTACTCATAATGAGAACAGAGTGAAGACGAGACCTTCTCGCAGGCGGACGGGGGCTAATAACCTGAGTGCAGTAGGGAAGGATGGACGTGTGCCTCCGGCTGTGACCAAAGCTACAATTAACACCTTGCTCAACCCCGCAAATCAATATTTTAAATTGATTCCCCTCCATTTGCACTGAGAGGAGAGGAAATGAGGGAATATAAGTACGGGGCCGCTGACAGGCTTCATGACTTGAAGTCAAAGGCCATTAGCTGTGCTAGAAGTGGCAGATCGCGCTGCTGAATTATTCATGGCTTCATTAGAAGGATACTTCAAGGTATAGGATGTAGTTATATTTAATCTGCTTGTGCGTGCAGGAGGGAGGAAGCAATATGCACCTGTTTAATTTCTGGTCCGTATTCTATGAACATGAAACTGTCAGAGGGTTTTCAGTGGGAAACTCTGCTAAACCATGCTCGGTCTCTGGCCGCTTTATTTGCAGAGCGCAAGGCACGTGTCGGAGGTGGCCACTGCTCCTGGGTCTTTCCTAGAGGATTGTCCTTACAGTCGTCTTTGTCTGCCTTGTCTCCCACCACTAAAACCTCTATTTACATCACACACAAGATGCATGCGAGTGCTCTGTAAGAGAGACATCAAAGCAGGGAACAAAATGAAACGTGTACAGCCGAATACTCTCCCAGCAGAGCTGTTCGATGTACCTCCTACACCAGAAACTTATTAACAAGGGCATTTCAATAACGTTGATAATAGCCTCCATTATCAGGATGTTTCTGTTAAGCAAAGTTGCGTGGCGTTGCCCCTCCCGCAGACAGGGTACCATCTGTTCCCAGAAAACGCCTCATTCATCTGGTCTGCCCCAGTAGGAATCGCTGCCGAGCGGTCTCAGCTGTCCTCGCCTTTGGTTCGGAGAACAATGGCTGGGTTCGGGGGGGTCCGGAGGCAGGAGGCCTGGGGGGACGGTACCTGTCACCCTCTGCCTGCAGCTGAATTGGTCTTTCTTCCACTGAACCAAGTTTTGGACCCCGTACCGCACTTCCTCAATGGATAACTTGCTTTCTTGTCTGGGGTCTGTACAGCTCCACAGAAATAAAGCGCATCTGTTTTATGAGGATGTCTCAAAGCACAAATTTGCGCATTCAGAGCAATTTAATAATTCTTTATCTGGGCACAAATTTGTGTTTAAAGCAAAAGAAAATCTAACGAGTCAATGGTTTTGTGAAGTCTGATCTGTCCCCTCCTAAAAGCAACAGTTAAAGGAATACGAAGCCCTTTCTCTCTTTCCCCAGATCGATGACTCCAGCCCAAGCAGACCTGGAATTTCTTGAGAATGCGAAAAAGCTGTCTATGTATGGAGTTGACCTTCACCAAGCCAAGGTGAGAATCAGCGTGTGTGCATCTGCCTGTGGATTTTGTAATTTGATTAACCTTCCCTTGCAGGAGCAAGTTTACCTATTTCAGGAGGTTCCTTTTGAAAGATAAGAGGACGTAAGCTGGCTACTGGTACAGAAACACAGACACACAACAGAAATGCCTCAAGCACTGTTGCAAGTTTTTTTAAGAGGAGTGATTCTTCCCGATTGCTTATTATTTATATATTACAGGAGGCTTTACAAAGCTACTGATGTAGACAGGTCCTTGCTCTGAGGAACTTAGAATAAGGCTCTGACCCTGCAAGGTGAGCTGCTCCTCTCAGAGAAATGCAGGATAGATTCTAGACCAGCCCTTTGAGCAAACAGCCTCGCAGGAGAGGTCTGCAGAAGGGAGGAGGTTGTAAGGAGGAACATGAAGGAAAAGCAAGCCTGGCCCTGGCTGCATAGGGAGCTAGAAGCTGATGTCTGGGTCGTGGGGAGATGACTTCAGGAGACCCTCGGGGGAAGACCAAAGAGGTAATTTGGAGGACAGATGTTGACCTGAAATTTGTAACTCTGCTGAAATCCTCATCTGCTTTCCCAGGACTTGGAAGGAGTGGATATCACTCTGGGAGTCTGTTCCAGTGGCCTTCTTGTTTACAAAGATAAACTGAGAATCAACCGCTTCCCTTGGCCCAAAGTCCTGAAGATTTCCTACAAACGCAGCAGCTTCTTTATTAAGATTCGGCCAGGGGAGGTACGTCCTGACTTCTTTGTGCTTGTGTCTTCTTAATTGCGTTCTGATTATCACCAACGTGTATGCTTCCCTAAAACAAAGTGGGGGGGAGGGAGCAAGCTTTTCTCTGAATGAGCATTTTACACTCTATTGGGTTTCTGATCTTGGCTTGCTGTTAAGTTTGGCTCTTCACGTAGAGCCCGCTGACCTTGCTGAAGCTGTAAAACAGCTGGTGACAATTTAAACACCGTGTCATCCAGCACCACCTCCTGGCACTGCGTGGTATTCCCAGCATCCAGAGGAAAGCGCTGGGGAGCTCACAGTTGAGACTGGAGAGGACGAACTCCTTTTTTGGAAACAGGGCAAGAGAAAGGCTCTTTGTCTCACTTAAAAAAAAATATTTAAAAAAAAAAATACAGAGGCATACCTTTTCACTTAGACTGCCACAGGCAGGGGATGGCTGCCCTGGCGCTGCCTCTCGTGAACAGGGAGATCCCCGGAGCAGCCTGGCTGATGGGAACATGGTGGGGAGAGAGGCTGCAACGGGGTTCTGCCTCTTTACTCCTCTCCTTCTTCCTCCTGCTTCGACTGCCATGACCCAGCCTTGCAGGGAGGTCAATTTTCAACCCCATCCTGCAGCTGGGCAGCGTGATGGTGGGTTAAATGAGTCTGAATGGCTGCAAAACCCACGGCACACTCCTCTGCAAATCCCGGTGTATCCTCAGAGATGCCTGGGCTTGTGGGCACTGTCTTTTCTCGGACCCAAGCTGCTCTTGCACATCATGGAGTGTGTTCAGCTGCTCTTGGGCTAGACTAGCAGTTTGTGCCGCAGCAGAACAGGTCGATGGGCTGGGAACTGGACTCCTGCCACATTTATTTCTTGCTATACCTAAATAACTTCATTTTCCACAGCAAGAACAATATGAAAGTACAATTGGGTTCAAGCTACCAAGTTACCGGGCAGCGAAGAAGCTGTGGAAAGTGTGTGTTGAACATCACACGTTTTTCAGGTGGGTTTTCTAAACGGTAGGCTCGCCTTGAATAACTAATTCTTTAGATTAGTTGTTGAAAATTAGCAGTCCTTCAGTGTTCCTTGGTGTTTCACAAAAATTGGAGTGAAATGGTTGCAGAGACATTAAGTGTTTATATTGCCATAAATTTCTAGGCAGCTTCTACTTCATAAGATGCATAAGACGGAGGTCTTCTAGCTTATGTAGATACGAGGTTCATTGTTAGCATATGTTGTTTTGTTAATCAAGCGTATGCAGAGACTTCTTTAATTTGTATTTTAATTTCTCTTTACCTGCTGCTTCCTAGATCTGGAGGTATGATTTTTTTAAATTGTGCGTGTGGTTTTCAGGCTGACTTCCACCGAAGCCATCCCGAAGAGCAGGTTCCTGGCGCTGGGCTCCAAGTTCCGCTACAGCGGCCGGACGCAGGCGCAGACGAGGCAGGCGAGTGCCTTGATCGACCGACCTGCTCCCCAGTTCGAGCGGACAGCAAGTAAGCGAGCCTCCAGGAGCCTTGATGGAGGTGAGTGTCTGGCGCCTCTTCCCTCTCCATGGCTGGGTTTAGCCGGGTGCTGGAATACCTCTTAAATACCCACTAAATCTTTTTAAAAAAAAAAAAAAAAAAAGCATTACTTCTCACTTTAATACAAGACCTGGATATAAAATGCAAACGGATAGTACTAGCAAGAACTGACTGGCAAAAAGGATGTAGGTGGGTGCTGAAGGCTTATGGCAAAGTTCTGGTTGTAAAGACATTTTCTATTCAATCTCAACGCATTTTCCTTTTAGCAAATTGGGAATTATGCTATTCTAGGATTTGTTTTGTTTAACGTAGCTTCTTAATTGACATAGTTTTCCTTGAGGGGGAGATTTTTTGCCACAACTGTTTGAAACCTTTTTGGCGTCTGTTAAAGCGATGCTAATGTTCAAGTTTGTGGCATATCGATCAGGTGGGCTCGTCCCTGACATTTTTAAAAGAGCCATATAGCAGCAGGCTAGAGGAGGTGAGGCATGGGAGGGGGAGTGCCTAAGTTTGCTCCCCTTGATCCGGATCATGGCGTGCTTGTAAAATTAGGGTCCAGGGCCGAGGGGAGCATCCCTTTACACCAAGAGGATCCAGGGAAAGGGGAGCATCCCTTTGCACCAAGGGCACCTGATGGAGCAAGAACAGCGTTGCTTTGAGCCCCGAGGTCATGCTGCAACCCAGGAGGGAGCAGGGTTCCCCCAGTTCCCTGTGGTCAGCAGCAGCCAGGCTGCCCCTGCTCCTGGCATGGGTTTGCAGGGCTCAGCAACACCCCGAACCTGGGCTTCATGCCTCAGAGCTGGGAGGGAAAGGGCTGCTTGGTTTGAGCTCCTTACCACAGCAAAGCAAAATGCGTGCTTGCCTGCAGTCCGGGCGTGCGAGGTTACCCAGGCATGATGCACAGAGGTGAGGGGACCAGCGCTGTTGGTTGCCCCTTGGCCATCCCCTGTAGACTGGTATGACCCCAGATGAGTAGAGAAATCCCCGCTGCAATCCCGCACCCAAATATCAGAGCTTGGAAAAGAGCAGCCTGTGAATGTAATGCTTCTGTCCCTGTTGAAGTCTTCAGCCTTTTTCCATCTGCTGTGTGGGCAGTTGTTAACATGTGCCCCGTTTCTTCAGCTAAACGTGCGACTCAAAAAGTTGAGTTCAGAGCCGTAGAGGAAGAGAAGCAGGAGGAGGTGGTTGAGGTTCCTGAACCAAAACCCACGGATCAGATCCGAGAGAAGCCAGGTATAGCTGTGGTGGTGGCTACAACTCTTCTGCAGCGCCTTTCCTATCCTTTACATGCTTGTTCCTGACAACTCAAAGTTTCACCAAATCTGGCGGCTTTCTTTTTCGTTTCTTTGCAAGAAGAGTTTCACAGTCGGAGGACAGACAGCCCGGCAGAGCCCCGGCTCTGGGAGACTCGTTAAATTTCCACCTTGCACCTTGTTAGACTGTAATTCTTGTGGGGAGGTGGGGAAAAAGTTTAGGATGTGACGGCACTTGAGAACTGTCTCCTTATTAAATTCGGGTGTTTTTGTAAATGTGGATTAGAAAACTTTAACATTTGATCTTGAAACTTCTTGTAAAGCTTCTGAAATTCTTCATCCCAGGACCTGCTTGCCATTTTTTAAGCCTATTCTGGGTTTTTTTGGTGATTTGAGAAATGCCGCCCATTTTGCTACATGGAGCTTATATTTCTCTTAAGATAAGTACTATTAGTAAATATTAATAATAAAAATCATTAATTAATTAATTAATTAAGGTGTGTAGGTACAACAGCGTACCTGAATACTAATAAGCGTATCACAGCAGCAGTGTTGTCAAACATTTGCAGTCTTCATCGCTTAAATAGCGAATGCCTGTGGTGCATTAGGGCTGGAGATAATTTGGATGCCAGTGCATTATGTACTGCTCCACATCCCTTCTTCCACCCTAGTTTTTTTTACAGCGTGCTTTTGACATCACTGGTTTTCTGGTATGAAATCTAGACCGAGCTTTCATAAAGTAATGTGGCAGCCTGTCTCCCCACCACTCTCTTGCCTTGAATTCTCACTAGTCAGCGTCGCCTGGCAGGGAAAGCCTGACGCTGTAAAAACAGAAGGTGGAGAATTAACATTTAAGACACCAGGATAAATGGCTGTATGTTCTTAGTTTTTAGATTTGAAGTTGATCACTCAAGTACATTTAATTAAAGCTGCTGGTTTTTATATAGGTTTTTATCTAGAGGAGCCTGGGTGTGTTTTTCCTGGATTTTACCAGTCAGCACTTGCATCTCCCCAGACTTTGCAGGCAGAGCCTGTCCTAGTACCGCACTCGAGAGCCGCTCGCATGTCCCCACGTATCCCTGCCAGAGCAAGAAGCCTGCAAAGCTTATTTGTGTTGGTTTTTTCCCCTCTCATCCAATACACTGTTGGGCCTGGCAGCACTAGAAAGACTGATGTGCAATTGTGTGGTGAAAAATTACTATTAAGCTGCCTGGTTTAAAAACCTCCTTGCTGTTCTCAGCCACTGCCTTGGAGAGGGATCTCCTCTTACTCTCCTCTGCTGCGGCGACCGTTGTGTGTCCACGTGGTTCTCCAGCCACTGTATTAACACATGCAAACCTCTTTCTAGCCAAACACGCTCTTGAAACTTTTGAAATGAAACCCATTGCAGAGGAGGAAGAGGAGGAGGAGAAGGTAGAGGTGGTTAAGGTGCCTGTTGCCAAGCCAAAGCTACCGGAGCCGTTGCAGACGCGGTCAGGTACAGCCGCAGTGGCATTTGGCATCGGTGTGGCTCTCACAGCCGCCCGTGCTGTGACCTGCTGGATTGAAGTGATGCGGTGCTGTAGGACAGAGGTTGCATCGTTTGCAGTGGTGTTCATTGCCATTAAAATCACACTCGGCTTTGCAAGTGTGCTGTAATAATGCGAGCGCTGCTTTATCGGGGTGAGATGAGGAGGTGCCGCGCCGTGGCTTGGCTGTGTGCCTGTGTGTTGAAATGAGTGTGCGATGGCCTTTTAACGCTCCTCTGTTGCTGTCCCTTCTTGTAAGGTTCGTTCCCCTGAGCTGTGGGAATGTGCGGTGCCTGAAAATCATGTTTTGTGCTCTGGGACTGCTGGAGGTCACCTGCACTCTGGTTTTTGTCTTTGCTAGGGAGCCAGCTTCTTCCCTAGTTGGGGTTTTTTTTTCAGAGCAAATTCACTGCTGCAGACAGATCCACCCTAATCATAATTAAAAGCAGAGTTGGTTAGTCATTGCAGGAAGAGGAGATTGAAGCTGTGGAGGGAGGTAACTGGGAACTTCACCCATTTTCTCTTGAATATTATGAAAAACACTAAACCAGCCCCTGCCCTTAGACTCGAGGATATTCCATAGGGTGGGCTGCAGCAGAGCAGACAGCGGCCAGCGTCAGGCCCGAGCACATCCAGGAGTCTCCTGCTGCAGCCGCCCTTCTTCTCATTCACCGCCTGCGCTTCTTCCTTCTCTTGGCACTTCTGATCCCAGTAGGGACTGTTTTCTTGGCCAGGGTGGTGGTGATCGGTATTATAAATCTCATGTTTTGGAGCAGCACTTTTTACTGTGTTTAAATTGTCGTGTGTCAAAATAGGCAAAGGTAGTTAATTGAGAACATGTAACTAAAATAAAGCAGTTCTGGACAGCGCAGAACTCATCGTGGAATGGCAAAGGAAAAGCTTGGTGTATGTTGTTATTTTTCCTGCATGTCTTGATGCTCTGAAGCGCTGGGAGAAGCAGGAGGTGGCCGTGCAGGTTTACTGATGGCAGTATTTCCTTTGCTACTTGATCTTCAAGGTGGCATTTTAACACCTGCATAACTTTTTTAGCCGAACGTGCTCTTGTCAATGTTGAGATAAGCCCAATTCAAGAGGAGGAGGAGGAGGAAGAAAAAATGATGGAGATGAGAGAACTAGAGCCAGTCCTGAAGAAGCCAGGTACCATTGCGATGGCTTTTCACACCCGGCATCCTCCTAATCCCGACTGTCCCTGCCATCTCACCGTCCCTCTGTACAACCTCCCCAGCGGCTGTCACCGCTTCCGTGGCATAAGTAGCACAGGGACACGGCACTGGTTGTCCTTCCGACAGGATAACGTGATGTCTGACTTACAGAAATGAACTGCCGTGCTGAAGAAGGGGGGAGATAACGGAGACGTCGGCGGTGGTTTGGGGTCTTAGTGTGGATTTTCAGCAAGACGTGGTGTCTAGGAGTTTGTCTTAAAAGTGTAATTTCAGTCTCTGAAAAATCAGGTTCTTTTTTGCCCTTCCACCTTCTATGTTTTTGGCCACATGGATACTTCATTCTGTACACGTTTTATACGCACAGATGAGATGCGGTTATCTTTTCAGTGAAACAGGAATTCTTACTAAGGAGTTACTTATAATTACAATTTCTTTTTTAACACCAAATTTCCCCGTGTCTTTGACTAGCTGGATGGACACTAGTAACCTGGTGTTGGCTGGGGTAGGTTACACAGTGTGACTCTGGCTGCAAAAACTGTGACTTTAGGAATATAAGTCCACATCAAAGAAATTATTTCAGGTGACTAGGTATACTTTTAGTGGAATGGCCATAAAAAACAACATCAGGAGAATTAAATAGCTGATTGCGCCTGTAGATATGCACAGTGAATTAATTGGGGCTTGCTCTGTTGCACAGTATTGGCTTGAATATTTTGGAGGTGTCGGGCTTTTCAGGGGTAGAGAAGTGTCTGGGAAATTAGGAATCGAAGGAAAGAGTAGGCAGTTGATTTCGTGTGTACCTAGTGCTTGTATTTAAGACTGTCATCTTTCTCTGGAAAGGTGATTTTTTGGCAGCATGCTATTCATTTCTGCACCGTCGCTGATCTGGAGATGCTGGGTATCTTCTTGCAGCGGTGCCTTGGGCTGCAGCAGGAGATACCCATCTTGGACACGCAGCCTCCGCCTGCTTTGAAACCCACCTGGAAGTTGCTGTAGAGTTTTATAGAGCAATGCTTGTTGATTATTTTTTTGTCTGAATTGCTGGAAAGATTGGGGAGATGGGGGAAAGCCCATATTGCCCTTCCAGAAACCATCCGTTTCTGGTTGAGGAGATGCCAATGAGTCAAGAACTCACCACAGCTGTGGTTCTATTTTAACGGCTGCATTGGGATGGACTTCTGTGTCTGTTGTGTGTGAAGGACCCAGAAATCGATGGCACAGTGTCAAAAATAGATTCGCCTTTCTGGTGTGGCTTCTCTGCAGAGTGCAAGCTTGCTTTTTGTAAACCAGCTGTTGAGGGGTTTTGTTTTGTTTTATTTAAACCATAAGGAAAATAATCACAACTTTCCCGTACTAAATGCACAAGCTGCTTTGCTCAACATCTTTATTTCTTTTCCCTTTTTTCCTCCTCCCTTTCTTTTTACATGACAGCACTGTAATTTGGAAAGACTTTGCCTGGTGCTTTAGAAACGTTGCCCGCTCTGAACCTTGTCCCTGTCTGTCTCTCCCCCGTCCTCAGCAGTGGCCGTGATAACCCCCGAGAGGAGTCCCCGTCCCACCTCTGCCCCGGCCATCGCTCAGAGCCACGCTGCAGAACCAGTCCCAGCTAAGCCCGACGCGAAGGACGTGGTTGCCTCTAAAGTAGAAAAGGAACCAGCGAAACCTGATGCGAGGCGTGAAGAAATCCCACCGGAGAGAGCCAAGCCGGAGCCAGCCGACGCATCAAAGGTATGGCAGACCAGAGTCTCTTTGGAAGAGGCTGCACTTGTGCGGGGCTGGAGCATCAGCTCTAGAAGCCGCCCCAGAGCAGCAGCTCTGTGCACCTTCCCCTCCCGGGCAGCGAGGGGTTTATTCCTCACCCAGCCATCGGGTGGGAGTGAGCTACGGGGTCTGGGTGCCAGGGAAGTCCCAGCCCTCACCCTCTGGGTGCAGGGAAGGAGGAGGTCTAGGGCAGCTGGGTTTTGGTGGTTGCAGTCAAACTAAATGCAACTTGCTGATACATGGTTAAAAAAGCTGGCAAGAATTGCACAGAAGTTCATGGTAATTGAATTTAGAGCTCACCCATTGCTAAGCTGTCTCTGCCAATTCCTGATACGACAGCAGGAGCAATTCCAGTGAAATCAGTGGTACGGATCTGGTCCGCAGCCCAGCATCTGCATGCAAATGTTTTTTACATTGATAGGCTTTCTCTGGGAGAGCTGTTAATATGTTTGTGCAAACTGGACTGAAACTTTAGTTGTGAATGGCACTGTTGAGACCTTGGCGGGTTTATTGTTTAAATGAAATTTTTTAAAACATTATTTGAGCTTTTTACAAATGTCCAAGACCTCTGCTGATGTTGATCTGTGTGTATTGTTCTCATAAGTGAAAATAATGCGAAAAATTATTGTTCGTATTACGGTGTTCTTAATATTCTGCAAATCTTATTGACTGAAACCTTCCAGTGTTGCAGCAGAGGTGTATGCCTCGAGATACAGTCTTCACATTAGTCTGAATATTGAGCTGTTCTCAGCATTACTGGAGCCACATTTTTGCTACAACATATCACACAATGGGTCTTGTATGACGTACTCCGGGCGAGATCCCTATTAATTAAGGTTGAGAGATGGAGGTGAAGAAAGGACAGTTGCTGTGTGACCTGTAATTTTTAAATGAAAATGCTGGAGGGATCTTCAGGATGGCACTTTGGAGAGTGCATCGTGGCGCAGAGTTCCTGTAATGCTGTTCTGCACGGCGGCTCACCCTCCCTAGCATTAAACTGAGAACCAAGTAAATTTTATTCATCCCATCTCACTTATTACAGGGTTTTTTCCTAAATGCTTACACACTGGATTTTTTTTTTCTTTAAATGTAGATGTGGGAGGAAGTTGTGGATTTGAACGTGCCAAATTTACTCTGTTTCTCAAATGTAGCTGCACCATTTCTTTTAACACCCATCGATGCTTTTGCCTTTAGACTATTTGGCAACCCAGTTTCCCTAAAAGACTTTCCTTAAAGTGTCAAGACAATCTTGGCTCTCTGCTTATGGACACTGAGGACCTTAATTTGTGATGTTAGGTTTGATTTTATAGCTAGGTCTCTTCTCACTGACTCTGTGAACATAATACCTGTGCATAACAAATAATTTTCTGGTTTTGAGGTGGTCTGTGTTAACTTGAGCATGTTGCTTTTGGTAAGGATTTCACTGGGAGATACAGCCGCAAATGACATTTGAAAACATTGCCTGGCAGAGCTAATGCAAGTGGGAAGCCCTTCTTCAGAAGCACTAGAGAGCACTGGTTTCAAATGCAAATAATTCTCAAGCTGAAGGAATTATTGTACATGTGCTGTTAACTAACAGACTGTCGGAGAGCTGCGGTGTCATTAACTCTTTCCGGAGGACTGCATGTTGGTTTTTGCATGTTTACCCAGCATTTCAAAACCAACTTTATGCAGCAGTGTTTTGAAACTAAATGGTCTCTTGAAACAAGTCTACTAACAAGAAATGTTTTTACCAATTTATTTCTTAAATGTAGGTGAGGAAAACGCACACTGAGGTCACAGTACCCACCACGAATGGTGACCAGCCCCAGGTTTGTGCTAATAATTCAGTTAGGTTGCTCACATTTTTTTTAAGGTTATACAGGGAGGTTCAACATAGTTAAATGAACCAACAACTTTTTTTTTTTTTTTATCACTGCCCAACAGCAGCAGCCTGCAGAAAAAGAGGAAGAACTGATAAGAATGAGGAAGGTTAGCCACTTTACACTCTCACCAAACAAATTTGCCATATCATTCATGCATCCATAACCTGTTTAAAAAGACAGTGCTCCAGTTTCTTCATGTGCTTTGGGTTGGGTTTTTGGTTTTTTTGGTTGTTTTTTTTTTTTTTTAAAGGCAAATATCAAATCCTTGATTTTAAAAGTGATAGCTTTTTGTCCCATAGACAATCTGATTGCTAAAATTATGCATGTTGAATGTTTGAGAGAAACACACCTGGTTTGATTCATAAAATTTATCTTCTCTGTAACAAATTTAGCTAGAAACCAAAGAAAACCGTATAGTGTGCATTCCAGGAAATGCAAAAAAAAAAAAAAAAAAGTATGATACGTTTTTTGTATTGATTAAGTAATAGGGGACATATCCAAGATGGGAAAGCTGGTTAAGACATAGTTACTGTGCACATTGAGACCTTGTAAAAGTTACACCAGGCAGTACAGCCTTGGGTGTGCGTCACTGTCAGGAATATGAACTTCGTGCAAGGCTTCCACAGAAAACCAGCAAATTGTCTCTTTGTGGTGAGCGATATAAATCAAGGCAGGAGCCGACGGACCCCTGGGAGCTGTCTCTTTAAAGGACTCATTGCATTTCCCCATCCTCCATGAGCAAGAACCCCCATTTCCCGGTGGTGGCCCCGTGCCGACGTCCCTGCGGCTGGGCCCCCACCCCACACTGGCACAGCGCTGCGCTCCCAACGTTAACTTTTTTAATTTGCCAATTTGTCAATCCCGCAAGAACAACATTTTAATTTTTTGTGCTTTTCTTTTTTTTTTTTTTTTTGTTTCCCCCTTTTCTTTCATTTTCACAGAAAAGATCAAAGAGGCTAGATGGTGAAAACATTTATATCAGGCATAGCAATTTAATGTTGGAGGTTTGTATGAACTTGAAGCTTTTTTCAGTTGCGTTTGCCTAGATCTTCTGCATCTGCGCTGAATCTTTTTCTTGCTCTTCTGCCACTGCCTTTGTTTTTGCATGCTGTTGCATGAAAGACCTTTTGTTTTTTTCTTTTGATACGCTTTTGCATGGTGACAGTAAACATGACGATGTGTAGGCATTCTTCCTTCTACCTCTTCTGACTTTCATTCTCTCATACTTACCCAAAATATATGATTGGCAGAGCTCAGGTCTGCTCTTGGACCCTCTGGGTGCTCACAGCAGCATGAATCGTGGCAGGGGGGCTCATTTACAAGTTTTTCCTTGCTTGAAATAAATTATTTTCCTGGGGGAAAAGACAGTCTATGAAAATGCAAAAACCAGGATAAGCTGCAGGTGAAATTGTCACCTTCAAGGTGCTCAGGCCACCGCAATGTCCACATTGCTTCAGACAGGAGCAAGTCTTCCTTTCGGACATTGCTGCCGGCGTTGCAGCAGTGCTTGCACTGTTGCAATCCTTCTCCCACTGCTTGCTTGCCTTGCAGCACCTTTAACACTTCCCCGGGCCCCATCCTGCATCGGCGCCGGGTCCCCTTGGAGCTGATGTGGGGGCTCGATGGCCATGGGCGGCTTGCAAGCAGGCGAGAAGCCGTTTCATCCCTCCATGTACAGCTATTCCCTTCGGCTTTGGGAGCCCTTTACACTTGGTTACACCCATGCACGGTCTCAGAACAGACCATGCCAATCATATATTTTTTTTTTTAAATACACTGTGTTACGGAAGACGTTTTGTGGCTTCTGATACTCTGTGTTATGTGTTTCTACTCAAAATTGCAGCACCAGCAGCTGGTAGGGTTTCCCTGTTGGTATCTCTTGCAAGTGAAGTGTACTAACTGCCTTCCCCTAATCTCAATTTTAAAAATTTTGCAGCCCTTGGATGTTTGGGGTTTTGGGTTTTGTTTTTTTTTTTTAAATTTTTTTTGATTGCTACCACTTCAGCTTTCAGCCACAAGCGAAGGGTCTGCAGCACGACGGGCAGGGTTCAGCCGCCGCTGGAGCACTGCGAAGACTTTGCTTGTCACTTTCTTTCGCCCAACTCGAGCATCTCCATCTCCCCAACCCCAAGCAGAGCTTTTTCATTGCTTATAAACCCCTTTTTCCTGTTAGTGCAATACTTGGCTCTGGCACCCAGCCCCTTCTCCAGCCCATTCCCTCTCCACTGCCCTCCCCACCAGTTCTGTTGCAGGTGCTCCAGCCCTCCCCTAGAAAAGGGCTGACCCCAGCAGCTCACCCCCTTTATTCCTTTTTTTTTTTAATCCATGCATTTGGCAGATCAGATGTTTTTCCAGCAGACCTCATACTCCCGAAGCTGCCGCTTGATTTTATTGAAAGCCTTTTATCGCTCCGTGCTCGATTAACCTGTGCTCCGTGTTCTTACAAAAAGGGCAAAGCAGGAGGAAAAGCGCTAACGCTCAGCGAGCCTGTTCCTCCAGATGCTTTCAAGACCCGTTGTGGCTCCACGTAGCTCCTCGTGGCTTTAGCTTCTCTGGAAGCCTTCCCGGGACCAGCTCTTGTGCAGGGTGGATAGCCAAGGTGGTCTTTCTCTCTTCTCTGAACCAGGAGCAGCTGTAGGGCTCCTGGAGCCAGGCAGGGCTTTACCCTGGAGTCCTCAGCAGACTTATTTGTGCTTTTTTTCCTTTAACTAGCGGGCACTTGCCTTGTGCTTTCAGCCAGGACAGATGCCAAAACTGTTTTTTTCCCCTAGAACCGTGCCAAAAAGAGCAAATGTTGTGAGTGAGGCATTTGGGGCTATAGCCCTGCGGAGGGAGGGCGGTGTGTCCTGGGTAAGCTGCAGGGATGCAGATATTGGGGGGGGGACCCTCCTTAGGGATGCATTTGCTTTCCCATCTTCTAAAATCAATGGGCTGAGTACCAACTAAAAGCACAAAGATAGTGAAATTTCCCGTGATGCTTTTACTGAGCTTAATTTCCCCCTTTCTAACGGGTGAGGCTTGCTGCTTTTTGGCACTGTCCAGAAAAGTTGTTGTTTGGCTTATGCCTATTTTATGCAAAAGCTTTGTTTTCAACAAACCCTAGTTTGCTTGCAAGGAAAAGCTATTTTTAAACAAGTTGAAGAGAGCTGACTTGCCTTGAAGTCTGTGCATTTATGCTGTAAACTGGCATTACAGAGTAGAAATCTGGCTTTTTGCAGATGAAGTATTTTAGCAGGAGTTTCTTGATTGATCCAGCATAAAGTAAATTCTCAGTTTGATTTTTAAGGGGCTGTCATCTCATCTTCATTTCAGGAGTCTAAAAACTCCTGTGGTAGCTCCTGGAGGGATGAGATGAGAGAGGGGAAAAAAGTAATGGGGGTATTCTGGACCAAAGATAATTCCTGGTAGGATGAAAGAGAAATAGGTATGAAGAGAATAAATAAAATCGGGAAAATATTTTCTTAAACACTAACTGCATTTATACCGATGAAAGGGAAAAGAAAGCAAACCCACCCAATTTAAAGGCATTAAATTAAATAACCCAAACAAAGATGTTACTGGAATTTTAAAAAAAATCCCATATGGGGAAAACCTGTGAGATGACACCTCAGCTGCCATCTCTTTTGGTGTAGCTTGAGATGAACGGATGGCACGTCCCGCTCCTGGAGGAGACCCCACTCTGTGCCGATTGCAGTTTGTCCCAATTAATAGAAGAGGAAGGAGGAGAGAGGACGTTCCCTCTGTGTGTTTGCAGTGTGAGCACAATTGATGGAAGTCGGCCACAACTCTGCTGAGCGCAGCTTTGCTATGCGGCAGCCTAGGCAACCGCAGGTGTCATCTCCGAGTCTCTTCATTTATCCTGTCCTTTTACTAATAGGATCTAGATAAGACCCAAGAAGAAATAAAGAAGCATCACGCCAACATCAGTGAGTTGAAGAAGAACTTTATGGAGTCCGTCCCGGAGCCTCGGCCGAGTGAATGGGACAAACGCTTGTCCACTCACTCCCCTTTCCGAACCCTCAATGTCAACGGGCAGATTCCCACGGGAGCGGATGGAGTGAGTACCTGGGCGGCGCGTGGGTGTTAGCACACTGCACAGTAGTGTGCAACTTCCAAGGGACAGCTTTGCAACCTGGGATTGAGCCTCAGGTCCCCTTAGTTTTCAGTTGTATTGAATTTTAATAGTTAATGTTGACTTTTAACATGTATAATGGTCTCTGAGAGAATTGATGCTTTAGTCGTAGTATCATAAAAATGTGATTTTTTTTTTTTCCTCTTTTTTGATAGAAAAGAATGTAGGAATTGTTCACCTGGTTTTGATGCCACCTTTCCTAGCGTTGCTGTCATCCGTGATGCTAGGGTATACTTCATATGTTTTGGGGACTGGGTTATTCCTGGTGCCAGGGAATGCATCTCCCCAAAATGTGTGTGTGTGGGGGGGGGGAAACAACAAAATAAAACCCCAAAAAACAAACAAAACCCAAACACCTAAATTTAAGGGAGTCATTACTTAAGAGATAATATTGCAGATAAATCAGTAGAGAAGCTCTAGGATGGTATCAATTTTCAAAAGTCACTTTATTCTCCAGTTAATCCAGTATGTCATTGGGTTTATCCAGTATGTCATTGGGTTTAGTCTTGCATTGGGATCGGCAGGTGGAGGCTTCAAGAAGACTCCTCAGGTGGCTACAGCAGGGCTGTTCATACGTGATGGAAATCTTTCTCCTTACAGGAACAGTGTCTGTATGTTAGTAGCCATACACATTCCCAGTCTCCCTGCTAATGTCCTTAAAAAGGTAATTTTTCAAAGAAACTGAGTTGGAGCAGCAGAGTTCTGTCTGCCAACTAGTTTCTTCTTGGATGACACACAGATTTGAAGCTTGTGAGTAAGACTGTAGTTAGAGCCCGTGGTAATAAGTCTCTTAAATAATAAATGTGATTTTTCATTACAACTGAAAAATTGCATCCTGGCTGCAGGGGCGGCAGTCATAGAGTCTCTCCTGGTTTAAGCCCAGCTTCTCCCCTTCCTGCCACAGTGCTGCAGATAAGCTTGCGTTTTGTCTTCAAACCATTGCAAGGGAGATACTTTTTAAACAGGAATACTCCTGCAGTGGAGGGAGGGTTATCAGAACAGGTACAAGGGGTTTTAGCAGCCAGGTTTACTACAGGTTCCTCAAAGCATGAAGAAAAACCATGACAATTACAAGGCTTTTTTTCCCCTGTTAGAAAAACAACCCCCCCAAAATCAACTCATTGGGGTTGATCGTTATCCTTGGAATTACCCTGTTTAATACATGGATGGTCTTTCCTCTTTGGTTGCTGAGTCTCAGTGTAAATTCTGCAGGAATCTGGGCAGCAGAGCGATGCAGAGCTCTGCCCACGGTGCCATGTGGTTTATGGCTGTGCGGGTGGGATAGAGCAGGGGCTCTCAAGCTCCACAACTACAGTTCAGGAATGATATTCCTGGTTATTATGAAGAATTTCTTGCATGGTGACTGCATGTGAGGTCTTGGGGGGCTGCTGTTTGCGATAACTGGATGGTGTGGGCTTTCCCCATCTAAGGCTGCAGTGGTCCACAGCGATGCAAGGATTGGTGTCAGCCCTGGATTTGCATTTCTGGAAATTCCCCACTTAATCTGATCCTCGCTGAAGTGGTCTTGCTCTGAGAGGGACACGTTCTGCTGTGAACTTCCAGAAATGCGTCTTCGCCAGGCGCCTGCCGGGAGGGTGTTTTCCTTCACCTGTAGATGTTTAAGGATAAATCATGATGCAAAGCAATCCTGTTTCTCCTGTTCATGGTGGTATCTTCACCCTGCTGTAGTGGCCAAAGGGTATTCTGCCAGGGGCTGCTTTTCTGCTGTTCCTATATGTTTTATTGCAAGACAACTGAACCTTAACACGCTTTGTGTGTCCAGGTCAAGAAAGTCACTGTCCTATCTTCTGAGAGACAGGTTGGTGGGCTTGAGGTAAAGCTGCTGTTCTGATATGTGCTTCTGAACCAGACTTTTGCTATTGCAATGGCACCAAGCAAAAACTCAACAGCAGCTGCTGGATAACATTTTTTCTTTTGGCTACATGAAGTAGTTTCATAACTCACACCGAGAGGACTTTTGCACTGCTGCAGCTTTTGCAGCTTTCGATTTTGCTTATTTTGGTGCATGGCTGGTTCGAAAAAGCTGCATGAAAGATATAACCGTGTATTCGGAGAGAAAAGCAATTATGAAAGTTTAACTGTACCCTGTTCTTTTTATGTTGTCTTTCTTTCCGTTTTTTGTTTTAATGATCATGTTACTCTTGCATTTTATATTTACTTTTGCTGCCCAGTCTCCCAGCTACTTTCTCCCCAATACTCATCACTTAGGGGTGTGCAAAGAACCAGTCCCAAAATACCGCACTGATCAAAGGAGGCTAGCTCAACTGAGAGAGCTTAGAGCCAAGTTTTTCCTCTCCTAGGTGCACTTGGGTTTGACCAGGTCCGGCAAACTAAACGGATGGAGAGTTACTGAACAGCAACATTTCCCACAGTCTTTTCTTTCTTCAACGAAAGCGCTAGAGCCCTTACATGATCCTACGTGATGATTTGCTCGTTCTGGTTTTCTACATTCTTTAGACTCCAGAAACAAAAGTGCTAAAAGGCAGAGCAAAATTTAAGGAGTTTGCAATGCTCCTACTGCCATCCTGCCTGTTCCACGCTCGGGATTTCTAAGATGTAACAATTTTCCACTTGTTCCAGTAGAATTTTCAAAACAATTGAAGTTTTGATACTGTTGTGAGAACTTTGAAAAAGCATTTTGTATCTGCACTGCAGTTGGATGTTCAACGATATTTAACAAACGCTATTTTTTAAGGGCGCTGTAGAATAGGAAGCTGTCAGAGACCACGTTTTGTACTATGCCATTTCTATTTCTAATGCCTCAACCTTTTTTTCTCAACCATTCCAATTCCAAAACACTTCAGTAGGTTTTGAGCATATGCTTTTCTGGGAGGGCAGGCGCAAAACATGCGTGGTCACGATCCAGAGGTTTGTGACAAAACACGCGTGATCCCGATCCAGGTGTTCATGAGCTCTGCAGAAAGGACTAGATGATGTAGCTCTAAGGCTGGTGCGACCCAAGCCACCAGTGGCTCTGGTCTCCAGGGCAGTTTATTTTTACGTTGAGAGGAAGGCTGTCCTAACTCTTTGCACACCTCCAAGTATCATTTTGGGCACTTTCCATCTGTCATTTTTGTTCATCTCTCTCTGTCTTTCTTGATCTTCTACCACGAAAGCAGACACGGGAACGTCCTCTGTTAGTACAGGATGAAGACAAACTAAAAAAGCAGGAGGTACCTACTGAGACAGCCTTTCCCCGGCAAGCAAGTGAAGAAACTCTTCCAAAGGTTTCTATTCCAATTCCTGAAGAGCAGAAATCGCTCAAAAAGTGTCAGCTGTACTCTAGCATTTTTCCTTCTCCACGCATTCCCTTTATGATGTCCTTTCTCCTGGTCGTAGCACTGACTGTTTGGTGGCTGCTCTTTCTCTGAGTGGCAACAGGGTCATGTTGAAACCTCAAGACCAAAGCTCCTGAATTTCTTGGTCGTAGCCTCTGCTGCATCTTCCTTGTCCTGGTCTTCCCTGTCTCCGTAGTTCGCTGTCTGAGGGAAGGGACAGCCTGCGACTGTCGTGTTAATCCCGCTGTGTGTTGTTGTGTAGCTGTGATCCGGGACCTGGCAGGAGTGGTCATGGATTGCCAGGTCCATTCTGAAGTTTCCTAGTGTGCAAAAGCAAATTCTCTGAACCGTGCTCCTGATTGCTGTAAGAGGGCAGACAGGGAGCGTAAATACATGGGAGGAGGCGTTTGCTTCTTCAGCCCCCGTAGACTTCACGTAGGAATTGCTGAAGACTTGCTTTTGAGCTTGTTGTTTTAAATATAAGGTGCTCACAAGCTGAAGAATGCTTGATACTGATCCAGAAGAGGCTTTAGAGCAATCTGCTAAATCTAATCCATAACCACTCCTTTTCTAGAAAACTAAGATTGGCATTTAAATAAAAAGTGTTGATTATCAATGCTGCTGTTAGCATTAACTTAGAGACAGGGATGGGCAACTTTTCATTTTCCCAGCGGGGGAAGCGTTTTGCAAAGCATCGTAGCTTCCTTCTCGCACCCCTATTCTCCTTTCCAAGAAAATACATTGTTATAGGAGAAAATCCATTGCAAGTAAATATTTATTGTAAACATAGATGAATCGTTTTTCTGAATCTGGTGGTCTTGGTGCGCTTCAGATGTGTTTTTTTTTTAATTTGTGTTGAACTAAACTGACGCATGTTTGCTTAGGTCACAGGAATGGAGTAACCTGCTGTTAGGTACATCTTCTCTGTTAGCATGTTGACTTTACCACATCAGGACACGCTTCTAATGTTAAAGCCATCGGTTGTTTTGACTTCTCTAACAAAACCGTTGCATGCCGTTGTTGTTTATTGCCTACAAATGTAAATGTCTGGATGATGCTCACGTTTATCCGAGTTACCCAGCTTGAGCTGCGTAGGCTCCAAGATGAGTTGCCCAGCTGGGCTGAGCAGAACTGGTTTGCGAGCTGGAGGGAAGATGGGACTTTGTGTCTACGGGGTTTCTTTTCTGTATATAGTAATTATGGGACTGAGCTGAGCCAACCGCTTCTCCTTTCGGTAGTAATCTGCTTTCTGTTGCTTTCTCTGGAGGTTTGGTGTAGACGCAATTACTTCTGAGAACAGCCACCAGTGCCATCAGTGTTGGCAGCTGCTCCAGCAGCACAGAAGAGAAAGGAGCAGACCTTTGTTACAGGGACTAAAATGTGTGAATATATATAAATACATGTATTTATAACCCTTTATAGATCTGTAGCTGTGTGAACAGTGTTACTTAGGAAGCTAGCAGATAAGCTTGCAGGAAAACGACATAAGGCAAATATGGCATGTGCTGTGTGATCTGAAGGACCGTGGTGTATCACGGACCATTTGAGCCACCTCTCTTGCTCTCAGTGTACAGGTTGAGGCTCTCTAAACACTGTCTCAGAAACTTAGGTTGCTAGTGAAACCCT